GCACAGCAGAAATGTACCTCGACAGATGCCGATAACTCGTCGACCTTCGAGATGCTCCTCAGCCAACCGGTGGACCGCAGATTAGACCGGGTGTACCGAGAGGCCACAATTTTGTGGCCAATTATTTGTTCGAAAAAGTTTCAAGTTTCGTTCAAATAATGTGTACCACCAATGATAGGTAAATGACTCGCCTATATCCTTTTATTTAAGAAGGTTGAGAGCCAAATGAAAAGAAACAATCCCAGAGATTCTGATCAATTATTTTCATAAGGCGAAAACAAAGAACAATAGCAAGTTGTTTCAACTGTCGTGATTGGACCACGTGAGCGGACGTGATACTTTATCTGCAGTGAAATAGATTTATAAGCTATGTGCGATGTAAAATTTACGCAATCAAATTCTTGAAATACAAACACCTCAGCAACTAAAAAGTTCTGCAATATAGATGATGACGTTGAGCGTTAGATAGCAAACGAGGGCCATGCAGTCCAGCGCGAACAAAAGCCCCCGGTTTTCCGTGAAGGATAGCGACAGGAAGGTTTAGCAATGTTTCCATGTAAACAGCAAGATGAGTAGGAGCAAGGTGATTCTCCAGAGCCAGAGCACGAAGAGTCAACAGCAGGCAACTTCCACTGTCAACATCTTCTATGTAACTCGAGAGCGCAACCGTCGCTTCAACACCAGCAGCGCCTAGAACTTATTCTTGCAAGGTAACCAGAATTATTTGATGTTAGTTAAGCTTTGGATCTCAACGGCCAACTGTTTTTATCACATTAGTTAACTCGAATGATTTTTTAGTGCAATTTTGTAATATTATAAATCGTTTAAGGGCTTTGACGACATTTGAAACGCTGATAGGAAGGATTTGAAGGATTCCAAGGAAAACAAAAATCATAAAATTTTTTGCATAACTCTGATGGCACTGAGATATATAGCAGACGAAGGATAAGAATGTGACCAGGAGTATTAAAAAATTAAAAACAATAAAAATAGAGAATCGGAAATATGAATACGTAGCTATTATAAAGGGAATATGACAAAATACGAGCACGAACAATGAATAAGAAGATGGACGAAAATAAAGCACAAGGGATGGAGACTAGGAGTGCATGGGTAGACAGAGCAAACACTGGGATGAAGACAGAGTCAACAGGGCGATGGGGCAGCGGCAAACACGCAAACAATACACGGTACACACACTGTGTCAACACGCACGGTACACATTCTGTGTCAACACGCAAGACACACACGCAGTCTCGATCGTCGCACACCAGAGTAAACACAACACATGGTGTGTGTACATACGGGGCTCTGTGCGGAACAGGGAGATGTATGGAGCCCAGTGAGGGTGTTTTAAGTGTTGTATACTGTGAATGTGTGCTATACATGGTAATATGCTCTGAGTACAGGAGGCCTGTTTACTCAGTAGGGCAGTATGTGTATAATGTGTTAAGAAAACATGCTCACTATTCCTGTACTATAAAGTATACACGCATGCGACAGTAATGCGTTTAGCGTGGAGGCCTGCATATTGAGTATTTGTTTAATGTGTGCAGTCCGCATGAAATATTGCGATGCAAATGTCTGCTAATCTTTTGTATTATAAGTGTTGCTGATCCATCGCCGGCACCTGGACCAAGAGAGAACAAATATTCCACAGCACCTATCGAAGTATCAGTGCAGTTAATTTGCATACAAGATAAGAAAACACACACTATAATCAACAAGTTCATGTAGTTTCTTCTAGCGGCGAACATAATACAGCTGGCCTGGCTCGCCACATATCAATGTAAATCAATGTATCAATCAATGTATAGCAATCCAACATCGCAAAAGGATATAGTGATACAGCACTAGTGATGCAGTGGTAGAGGGTAATGACGTAATCGAGACTAAAACCCCAAAGGCTGACTTAACAACAGGAAACAACAATTTTCATGCCACTGCTTATAATGACCAAGCATCACTATAATTTTTTTTACAACATTTCGGATAGTAGAGTGTGTACTCAGTATAAACAGTTCAATAGTCGCGGCGTGTCTCGCTGTCGGCGCACATGCGTCGGACATGTCACAAGTCGAGTCGTGGCCCATGCACTGCAGGCCAGCGTCGCAGGAACGAGCATGCATGTGATTGGCGGGTGTTCGCTGCACCGCGCAAAAATGCTAAAGTACAGAGCGCAGTACAGCAAAGCACAGCTCAGCACAGTGAGGCACAGCCTAGCACAGTGGCACACAACCGAGCACAATTGTGTACAACCGAGAACCATTGTGCACAGCCCAGTACAACAGCGCACAGTCCAGCACAGTGGCACACAGCAACGCGGAGCAGAGCACAATGAACCGCACAGCAACACCATGTGCAGCTCGGTAACGCATAGCAGAGTACAACAGAGATGTACGGCGTAGACATAGCTCATCAAAATGTAGCTTAAATAGAAATCCAACATTCAGCTGACACAGGAAGTTGTTTCCAATATCCATCATCTCAGCGCGCGGATTAAATCTGGATCAGATAAAACGCTTAAAGCAAATAATAGAATGTTTGTATAGCGGACAAGTCACTCAAAAGCATAAAAATTCAATCGGACATCTCATCTATCAAAAGCCGCACCGTGCAGAAGCCACACAACGCTCGATCTTAATCTTCACAACCATTTTCCCTTCCTATTTGCGATAACTCGATTTACGTGCTGTATGCCGGAACCATTACGCGAACAGGATCATTAGTCCCTCACGGATAAATGAAGCCAGCTGGGATGCAGGTAAATTCATTGGGTTAGGGAGCGCGAAGTGGGATTAGGTTCCTCGGATCAAGAGAGGCTCGAGGGGACGAAAAAAGCGAGGCAGGATTGCCCCAGGGGGCTTTAGAGGGGGAGTGCCAACGTCCCCAACCAACACGGCCTCTGCAAACATCACAGCAAACACGAGGGCAAACATTGGCAGCAAACACGGAGGCAAGCTTCAGCTGAGGCAGCAAAAAAAGACGAAGAGGAAGGAAGGTCTCGGCTTGGTGGAGACGAAGACCAAAACACGGCGCGACGTGAGGCCCTTAGTCGGACGTGCTCAGCGACGGCGTATCATCCGCACCGACTGGGGTGAGGTGTAGGTACGAATTTCTTAAAAAAAAATGTTACTAGTAAAGATTTTTGCAATGTCAGTAAACTTACGTGATGATGACGTAGGGATGTCGATACTATTTATACGATCGTGAAGCTGAGAACACAAACACAAAACGCAGCAGTGCTCAATGCAATCTAGACCGTGTGTATGAGTAGCACATCATAAACATAGCCGCATCAATTAATTGCGAGTCACATCCACAAGTTTACACGCTATATATACGCTTATGTCCATCTTTTTACACGCTCAAATCCTCCTTTATACACCCAACGCCCCTAATTTTATGCGCTCTCACCCATCATTCCACTCGTTCACACCCATCATTCCACACGCTCACTCCCATCATTTCACACGCTCGCACCCATCATCTCACACGCTCACACCCATCATTCCACACGCTCACTCCCATCATTCCACACGCTCACACCCATCATTCCACACGCTCACACCCATCATTCCACACGCTCACCCCCATCATTTCACACGCTCACCCCATCATTCCACACGCTCACACCCATCATTTCACACGCTCACCCCTATCATTTCACACCCATCATTTCACACGCTCATCCCCCCACTACACACCCCTATAAACCCCCCAGCACCAGGCCAGGCTGGCAAAGCAATAATCTCGCGTAATGGGCGCCTTCTCGCGCACAAGCGTCAGCCGCGGCGCAGTATCGCTATGATCTAACGCAAATGCCGGCGCATTTCGTCGTAAGCGTCACAATAACAATGCAATTTGCGCAATCATTTCCATTTTTTGTGGCCTCCTGACAACCCGGATCACGCAGCGTAACTGCGCTTGTACCATTACTGTGCAAGGCTAGATATACACGACAAGAAAACATGTCATGGTAATGAGCGCCAATTACCTTCGGCTCGCCAACAAATTGCAGTTCGGATGATACCAAATCAAGCTCAACAACACAGTAATTCGAAGGCAGTTAGAGGAGCCAAAGTGTGATATTTCCCTACAGTGACGACGCATGGGCAGCACCAACGAACCTGCAAGCCGCAACTTGAGCAGCTTTCAGGAAGTTATTACCACCGTAAAATACGACCTTGTGCAAGTAATGGACGAGCAAATCGCACGCAGTTGATTGATCGGAAATTGATGACGAATATACACGACCCTACTGTAAACATGTTTGAATTTCGTGACAAGTGAAACCACAAGCGCCGTGCCCTTGAATTTTCAGCCTTTCATTATTCGGTCAGCTCCACAACAGGAAGCGATGTGTGACGACGAATTACGCAAAATTCGACACATTTTCCACGTATGGTCTCGTCATTATGATGAAGTGTTTCACTGCTGCCATGCATAGTTGTTAAGAGATCATCTGTATGGCATCTATAGAGATGAAAGGGAAGAGATCACAGGGAGATAAGCGCAATGCAAAGACATCACATGTAAATGTGCTCAATGCACAATGAAGATTTGTACTAAATGCACAGGGACGACATGTGCACCGTGCGAGGTACTCGAGATAAGAAGAAGGAGTACTCGAGTACCGAAATGCACAGCTAGGGAGAAGATGTACTAAATGTACAGGGAAGAGATATGAACAGTGCACAAGGAGATGTGTACAGTGCGAAGGGAGGAGAGGTACCCGAGATAGGGAGTAGTACTCTAGTACCGAAAATGTACTAAATGTACCGAAATGTACTAAATGCACAGGGAAAAGATATGAACAGTGCACAAGGAGATGTGTACAGTGCAAAGAGAGGAGAGGTACCCGAGATAGGGAGTAGTACTCTAGTACCGAAATGCACAGTTAGAAAATGTACTAAATGCACAGAGAAGAGATATGAACAGTGCACAGTGAGATGAGCACAGTACAGACACTACAACAGTACAAGAGTGCAGGTACTCACGCGTGGCGTCGTCTCTGTGCAGGATGTGTTTGGAGTTGAGTAAGGTGAGAGGGTGGGCGCCGGGGCCCACAAGCGAGCCTGAGAGACCTGACAGCAAGCCTGCCCAATCAGGAGCATCATATTCGATTATTCGTCGTGTCAAACCCATCTTAGGAATAAACAAAAAATTAATTATCCTTCATATCAATTGTAACAAGGAAGCATCATCAATAAATTTCAGCCAGCATAAACCCTAAACATTATAAACGCTCACACCCATATGTATATGGTTTCATTATAATTTTTAAATAGTGATTCAACGTGCTTAGATAATATAATCAATATGGTTAAGTCAACAAACATAGATTTATTCATCACTTATAAAACCAGTGAACATGAAGTACATTATCAGTTAAAATCAGCTTGCTTAATCAGAGGCATGATAATCAGTAACATGATAAATGAATAATCATCCAACCTATATACGCCAGGATCTAGTCACATGCCAACTATAAATAATAGGTATTTTACTCGCTTATATTATTTTAATCTACTACACCATCCTACACTTTAGCTTACACTGACAAACATACATTGTACACGTACAAGACATTCTCCAGCTGAATTAGTTCATTGTTATGCAATTGCATTGCTCTAGTCTTTGCTAGGAATCCGTGCTGATATATTGGTCGCTATAAGATATTCTAACTGTTCATGAGTTCATACATTTGAGTAATAAAGGGAGATTCTAAAAAACTATTGACTTAATCACTATTATATAGTCAGATGGGGTAAGACAGGACCGAAATCACTAACAAGGCTGTAGCATCTATACCATGAATAACTAAAAAACCCTAAACCTATCACAAGGTGTAGTTATGCAATGGGCTTCTAAGCTACAACTCAGACATTTTGCATCTAACATAGTTTTCTGTACAGATTAAAAAAAGTGAGCTGGTCCCATCTTACCCCACTGGGGTAAGATGGGACCAGGCATGGGGTAAGACAGGACCAACTGGCAATTCTTATGTTACAAGGTTTTTAATAAAAGTACAAATCTGATATTCAATATTATCCATCTACAAACACATTGTTTGATTAATCAACCACTTGTTACTGTTTTGTGTTGCAGGAAGTCAACTCTAATATCAGTCACATTGAAGTTTTTGTCACGAGAAAACTTTGTTAAGCATAGTAATAGTGGGTTGGCTTTGGTTCATTGTAGAGCACTGCTAAATGCTTCATGTATATTCCATCAGTGTCATTGTCTGAAAAATTTATCAAATTGTAATAAAACCAATGGATAATAACTTAAGTAGTGTCAGACATCATGTGTTTTCTTGCTAACTGCATTTGTGGTGCACTTCTTCAAACATAGCTCATGCCCTCTCACCGAGTTGTGATCATAATTATTTTTCATGTTTCACACAGTGATTTTTCCCCCAGCCAATCTTTCACATACTCGTTCTGTGGCTCACTAATGGGAAAAGACATCCCTATTTCTATATCCCTTTGATGCAATTTAAAATAGTGCCTAAATTTCTCTAATTAAAAAAGCTAACAAGTTATAATGGAGTTTGAGCAAAAGATAAAAATTTTGACCAAAATACTCCATGTACTACACAATAATATATTCATTTATAAACTATTTTTTATAAACTGTAGGGTAATAGAGGACCATTTAAGGGGTAAGACAGGACCATTTGTGGGGTAAGATAGGACCACTTGTGTGGTAAAACAGGATCATTTAGTGGTCCTGTCTTACCCCATGTCTGGTCCTTTTTTACCCCATTTTAGAATACATGTCAAGCAGTGATGGTAGCAGGTAGGAATGCCTAGTATGTCTAAAAAGTTGCCTATTACTTGAGGTTACCTGCCTACATCCACTCATCCACAATTTACCACAAACATGGCCAAAAAATTTTTTGTCATTAGATAGAGCTTATTTCTCAAACAGAGTTAACTATTTTGTGACCCTTCTTTACATAGGTTTTCTTTAAAAATTAGCCAGAAATTCATTATTTGCAGAAGAGGGTTGTGACAAACACTGAAATGGCATGCAATGATTGCTCTAACATATTCTTCTTTCAAATTAAATTCAGTGCAATTAGAATGCACGCCATGGGCTGGTCCTTTCTTACCCCATGAAGGCTGCGATCCTGTCTTACCCCATTTGACTATATCCTGTCTTACCCCATTTGACTATATAATACGTCACATACTAACAAATATATAACTTATTCTATTATCATCACTCATTCATTAGTATTTTATTTAACTTGTAATGTGAACCATGAATATGTTCGTCTAGAACATTCAAAGCAACAAATTTAAACTTAACACCCCACATTCTTACTTAATACCCAACAATACCCCCCTTAGAATACCCAACAATCATTCAACGACCGATTCTGTCATCAATATGGAAAACTTACAGTATCATGCAACTTCCAATTTTACCTTCAGTCTTTAACAATATCTGAATAAGCCTTAAATATTTCACAGTGCACACGTTCTGTACAGCAACTAGTAATACTGTCATGTACTTAACAACTTATGCACCGAGCAGCAACGATACGATTCCTGTCTTCAATACTACGCAAATCCGGTACCTAATATCCATAACAATTCCTTTAATTCTACATATCTACATGATTAAATACAAACCAATATTGTATTCAACTTTAATACTACATATCTACATGATTAAACGCAAACCAATATTGTATTCAACTTTAATACTACATATCTACATGATTAAACACAAACCAATATTGTATCCAATACTACATAATACTACCAAACACTCCTTCCTATCTGCCTGCAACACTACATAGCTGATACCACGCATCAACTAAACCTACTCTCAACTACATACGATGCAAGTACCTGAAAAAGTAATAGGTACCCTACCTGTCTGCACCTACATATCTCCTGATTAATATATAACACGCACGTGGTTTCCACTCACTAGCAGTAAGTGGTTGCCACTCACTAGCAGCAAGTGGTAGCCACTCACTAGCAGCAGAGGAGGGAGGTAGAGTAGGTAGGCCTGGTAGGGCAGGATGGGGCCCTAGAGGTAGAGGAGGATGTCCGGCGTGTGGTAGAGCTGCTTGCTGAGCCTGCATCTGTTGCTGGCACACACAAACCAACACGTTAGAACACGCATAGAAGTGCATGTCATATCACGCATATAATATACGTACTAAAACGCATCAGAAAACACGTTATAACACGCATAAGAGAACACGTTATAACACGCATTAAGAGAACACGTTATAACACGCATAAGAGAACACGTTAGAACGCGCCTAGAAACATGTGCGCACCATGCTACTCAAATCTAGCAAGCATATAAGTCGATATCTTATAAAAAAAATCGCCGCCGAAAATATGACACTGCATTGGGAAGGTTATAAAAGATTTTCTGAAAATAACCAAGCAAATCTATTGCAAAACGTAGAAGACCGGGAATAGCCGGAAACCAAGGGAAAATACTGCCAAAATAACAACAAAATTAAAAAAAGAGGTAGCGTCACTTAAACCCATGGACAGGAAGAAGAGTAGAAGAAAATCAACTTACTTTATTTTAAGCACGAGGCAACAATTATAAAATAAGGCGAAGTTGAAGTAAAAAATGCGATGCTCCTCAAGTTGAGAAATATTACGAGAAGAGTGAATATGCAATGAACGTATTTATTTACATACGAGGTTATGAATAAAACAGTAGTAATGAAACTGTTAGGGGAATGCAGATGAGTTGAGGGAGCAATTGCGTAGTTGAGCAACGAAAGCTACCGGGTTAATAAAGCAACAGCCAGTGAACAAAGACCGGTTCTAGTGAATACATTAAAAGAACATAGACACTTGCTTATGAAATTCAAGGTTGAGTTGGTCAATCGGAACCGAAAGCGGAATGAAGATTCAGCTAACGTAAAAAAATAACAAATAAATAAATTACCGAAATTCGTACCTTAGCATGAGGCCCTTAACAATTAGTACCGTACCAGGTTAGTAAAGAGGCGCCAGATACAAAAAGAAGTGAGACACAAAAAATGACATACCGATCAACGATGAACCACCGAAAGACGAACTTTTCATGAGTTACTCGAAATTAAAGACAGAAATAAGAAAGTGAAAAAGATAAAATAATGCACCATGTGATGAGCAAATAGCAGCCACTCTGAGAACAAATGTTTACAACACACGACATAGAGGCCTAGCCTTAACTTCAATTCGTCAATAGGCTTAGTTAAAAGAAAAACAATTTGGACTGTACCGCTCAGAGGATGGAGCCAATCCACTAACCAATAAAAGGAAGCAAAGTGCTTTCCTAATGCAAGTCTATTTGCAACCAAAGCATGGGCATTTGTGCCACTTAACCCTGCAGCATAATTCGCGAACGCGGTCCTTGGAAGGTCAAGAAGCGACATAATTAGCTGCACGGATGGCATAAGAAACGATAGCTCGTGGTCAAAAATGCAGCCGCGCTGATATAGTGAAGATCAAAGAAGTGCCGCCGCCGAGTACATGACATGGACCAGAAGCTACGGCATGCATTATGGGCAAGCAATCACCATTTAATATGCATAAACTTCTTGGTGTATTTATGAACCAAAGCCATAATTTTAGACGGCACGTCTCGCATATCTTATTAGCGATGTCATTGGAATTATGAGGACCGAGAGTTGACGTCAGGTAAAAGTTGGAAAGTTTACACAATTGATGAGCAGTCAAGACATAGCCGGACATGCAATACGGATCACCTGCTAGGTAAGTAAATTGCTCGATTTAGAGCAATCGAATACTGATTAATAATACAGGCACAGAATTGTATAATTTATACTGATAATACAATCAGTGAATAGTCTACTAATCTTGGTACAATCAGTCCACGAGTTTTATACTGATCATGATAAGGATATCAGTCCTCGCATTGATTATTAATCATTACTCTATCAGTATTCGCATTGAATAAATCACGATACGGCTATAATTTACCTGATCAGTCGTTCGACTATGAATCGTAATTTAAATGCAGTATGTCCGATTATAAATATTAACAGGTGTCCAGAGGCATTTCATTTCTATACAGTCATATTATTCACCAGTATTAATTGGAATTTCAGTGCCTTTTTATAGAGAGGAATTGAACCGATTATTTTTCCACCATCCAGCGTGTGAATGCCGTGCAACCAACTGCCATCGAATAAAGATATAACACCGAGATTTCCACCAGCTCTAGAAAGCACCAAACAGAAGCAAAACACAGTCGAAAGCAAGCTTTAAAAGACAAAAATAATGAAGGAGTACAGTAGTTAGACACACATAACATCGTCCATAAAACCAATTAAATCAATAGTGCAGCAGCAACAACAACAGAGATCGTTTGTTATGCAACTTTAATAGTGAAACATTGTAGTGCGTCAAGCTACCATTGTGTAGTACCAAGTTATCTGCGAGACAATCAACCCGTGTATATGCACAAACATATCCGTGCACGTGCCTCTACTCTTCTCTCACGTATTCGTGTTACGGATTTGACATGGTAAACTAAGTCATTATATTATAGAATGACTTATGTTGGGAAGTGAATGAAACCCCATAAACCCCATTAGGACGCAGGAATGATATAGTGAAATGCTTTACGCATACATTTTTATACTTGAGGAGGTAATGTGGCGATGAGGCTCGAGTTTAGTCTGATTTAGAGAATCGAAAAGCTAGTGCGATTGTGCATTTGGCGATCAAAATCATTTATATTGGAACTATTGCGTATTAGAGTTACTTGTACTCTATACATTGAGTGTACTAAGAATAATTTCAAAGTTTAAAGACTTTGCAATATTTACACGAACTGATTCCTGGTCACACACTCTGTAAAGCTTGACACACAGTTACGTATCAAAAAGTTATAAAATCCAGCTAGTCTTTCAAATGTTTCGTTAGTTTATAAAACTGAAGCCGCTCGATTATAAGAGTACTTACTGGTAAATTTAATAATTTACTGCTCAATAAGGACAAAAAAGAAGAGCTCCATACATCGTCAACTGACAACCGGTAATGACATGTACAAATTCAGTTCAGGTACAGCTCAGAATTATCTTGTAACGCTCGCTCATGATGAACAAACAATATAGATTAAAATATGAAACTCCTCGTAAAAATTAGACGAGATAATTAGAAGTTTTCCAGCGTTAACATTCTGAAGTAGAATAAAGGGATTCCCATTGTATTGTAATTTAACTTTTGCAACGTGATTGCGTGAGAAATTTAAAAAAAATCCTCATGTTGTTGTCAGTTGACGTGTCTGCACTCAAATTCGGTTTGGCTTCCAGGGGAGGAATTTTGAATCAAAGTCCAGCTCACGTGATGCTTCTATACTCCGTCGGCTGCTGCAGAGAGAGTCGCCGCTACTACTGACCAAATTGCAACCATGAATTTTGTTTATCTCACTTATTTCATCTTCGAGTATTACATTTGATTATTAACATAATTATTGATTTAATGTAATTTTCAAGAAATTAGGAGATAATAGCTTAATTATTGAATCTCATTAGCGAATTCACATCAATTTGCAAGCGAGAATTTTCATGGTTGTGTCATTAACGAATGAATACCACGATTCATAAGGAACAAAAATGTTAAGATCGTGCGACTTTCTCATCGAGCCAGCGGCGTACGAGTGAGGGAATTTTCATGTACAGCGAGCGGCCTGTTCAGAATTTATTTAATATAAGAATGTGTGTACGCGGCAGCAGCGGCAATACTAACCAAAAGTCGAGGCAAATCTTGTCGCTGTTGCTGCTGCTGCCATCCGTCATCATCATCACAACCAGAAAGAGAACAATGAAAGGACTCCATTAATTGTGAAATTTGGGCAGACGATCACGACATGCAGCAGTGACACATCGTCATTATCATGCCGTACAATAAAGCAGAAAAGTAATGACGTATTTAAGTTACCCTTGCAACTGGTTCTTAATCAAATTTGGTGCCATGGCAACGGATGCAATTGAAATGCACATTTTTTCAAGTTCAGGATATAAACAAAACATTTCTGCTGAAAAATAGGCAATGTTGAAACTATTTAGTATTAGCAATCTGGTTGCCATAACAGTACTGATATCAAGAACCGGTAAACAATGCAACACTCATTTCGATGACGTTTTACTATATTTTCTGATCTTAAAGAGACTCGTGATTCCCTGTAAAAAACCGTCAAGAAACAACATCCATCCGATTGTAAATATTAAGGAGCTTCCGAAAACATAGCAATGAATGAAATGAGGAAGATGAAATGTTCTTAACTTACTCAGGATGGACGGACTTGGCTTCTGTTAGGAGTCGAGCTAATAAAAGGGAGAGCTCGCTTCTCAATACATTGAGCGACATGAACCAAAAATCTTGCATCGACACACATAAATGTAATGGCTCTGACATTCATTACCTAAATATAATTGATATATTAAAAATTTCACAATAGAAGAAGATTGAGCAAGTTTATGCGAGTAATTCACAACTCATCATCTGTAAATCACTCGCCGGTTTAATTAATTAAGAGTAAGTGATAAACATGCGCACCTGTAGCAGGAATAAATATGTATACATGAAAGCAACGATAAACTTTCGGGCATTAAATTATAAAAATACATATTAAGGAATAAGAAAGATGATTATTTATTATAACGGAGCAGTGAAGAGAAATGATCGTAAAATATAATGATAAAAAGAAACAGTCGAAAAACAAGAGGAAAAAAGCAGAGGAGAAATTTAAAAAAAAACGAAAAAATATTTTATTTTTGGCACATCATTGAATTCGACAGCCAGTAGACTCAATTTGACCTGCGTTATTCGACCTACAAGTGCACGCTCAAACTCATATTGCCGGGCCTGGCGAATGAACTAGCTTTCAAACTAATTCCACACAAAAAGTTATGCGGCAATACTCTATTGAACCTTATCTTCTAGCTGCCGATCGCAATATCTATTTTTCGTATTGGCCCACCTACGTTGCTAAATTTAAACACGGCTTCATCAATTAATTGAGTAAAAGTTAAAAAACTCCTCTGATAATTTGAACGAAAATCTCGAGCAAGATACTTGAACATTTCAGTGCCAGAAAAACTACAGATCTGTAAATTTAACTGTCGATGTGCGGACACTCGTGCAACAAGTGCATGGGACGTTGCATGGCGTGTCGGCGATGACATATCGCGTGAGTCAACGTAGTTACGGCCAAGCATGTCTTCATTAAAGCCGTAAACTCCAATTGTCAAACACGATAAACTTGCGAGACGTGGGTCTAAATGCAGAATGACTCAATACGAGAACATCTGTTTTTCATATGATTTTAATTGCACTATCAGTGGCCAAGAAAAGATGACGTTTATCCGGTGAAATTTCAAAGCAGATTTTTTGTAAGCACCATATGAAAAATTGTAAGCATCGAATGTAACGGATGTAACCGATACAAAATCCTGATATAATGAACACACAAAAGAACATTGGGACGAAATTCAGGGTTCAATAAAATGTCCATCGAACTATTTTAGCTTGAAATTCCTAATCCATGCCGGTGAAACTCGTTGTTATGATTATTCCAAGGGACGTTTGAATTCATGAAAACAAACAAATCGAAATACCGGGGCTGAACAACTGAACCAATCCATTGGAAATTCAGCACCATGCAGCTATCATTCCGAGGTGAATGTTAAACGCATGAAGCGTAGAATTCAAGAGTACGTCGATATCCTCCGTCCTGCAAATTTTGTATACAGTAATTTTTTTAGCACTGAGAGTACGTTATTGAAGAGTTCGCTTGACATGCGGACATGCATATTGCGTGGAGCAAGAAATTGAAGCTCCCTTAACTTTGTTGGGACATGGATATATTCTTGGATTTATCTTTGATTTGACACCGACTTCATGCAAATGAACGATGAATAAATCGCAATAATGATCGCAGAGATATGCAAGGAAATTTTACATTATCGATTCATTGAATGATCGTTCAACCTACCAGCAGTCGACATCGCTAGAGACTCATGACCTAGATGGACTTAAGAGGAGTGTCCATTAGGTGTGATTCGGACGATGGAGCTTACTGTTTTCAATAATTTGCAGGATCTTCAAATGAGTTTTCTGCAGGTATTGTATTTATGCCATTGAGAGTCAATTTTGATACGAAAATGAATCGTTTAGCAAAAACAGAAACGTTGTTGAAATAAAATAAATATTGTTGAAAATAATTGAATGAAATTCAAGCAAACGTGCCGAAAACTATATAAGGTTCCGTATTTGTTACGTGTCATCGTAATAAATCAAGAAATCTTAAAAAAGAATCAATGTTCAACGTAAATATTCAAAATTTTACAGCTATTGAACGCCTTTTAAAGTCCGAATTCGTCGGTCGGCTGACATTGCTGATTAAAGCGCTTTAGTTAAATAACGAATCGCTGTCCTCCAATTGTGACAAAACAACAACGCTGTCCCATAACTTGATTGCTCCGAGGCGAGCAGCGGCACAAACAAGTCTTTAAAAACTTGTCAGTTCACGATCATATCAAACGCGGAACTAAAAAAACCAGCGGAGACGCCTCCTAACCAAACCCCATGTGGCACAAAAAACCTTTCATTAGTGAGCCCAATAATGGCGCGGTTTGCGAGAGCCACATCATGCACAGCCGTCCAATAAACCAGCTAAAATCGCGCGTATTTCCTACGACCTAGCATTAGCGAGTCAGGATCTTTCATGGTATAATACGATCACCATGAACGAGTGTATTATTCCCTATCAAGTTATCATATTTCTTTCACAGCGAATTCTTTTTACAGAAGTTTATCGATACATGAATTGAAGCGAGCACGTACGGGGCCAGTCGAGCATGGAAGTCATGCACTCCACAAATTCGATTACACATAAAATCTCTTAGCGTTTCTAACCTAAAGAAAAAAAATCAATGGCACTTACACGCATGGCCAGCGTTGGACGATGGACTGTAGGACAGTGCAGCGCTAATTTAGACTTGTTAATAAAGGTGCTTAGGTATTCATGAGATGCGTGGTATTATTAACGAAGGCACCTTTAAGCTCACTCGAACTGAAGCCTATGATCATAGACAAGGTTTCAATGAAAGAGACTTGATACAAGTCGGGATGTGCATTCTGCATGTTCACCCAATGCAATGAATAAGAGAACAGTGAGTGCGTGTGGTCGTACCGGTTCAATAACTTAAGACTTTAGCTTCGGTGTATATAAAATTCATTCCAATAACATTCAAAGTAACGAGAACTCCCATTACCATATTATGAGCCATCCACAGCCATGTTTATATACGTATCATAAGTTCCAGGCTAAAAAATTGTAACGCTTTTCCATAACATAGCAAGTTGGCTCATGGGAAATGACATGACTGTACTGATACGTACAAAATCTAATCAGCGTTCAACGGATTAGCCTCAATACAAAAAATACCAATAACGTAATAAAAACAACCAAATCCAGTAACATTGATAGCAAAGTTGCTCATGCCCATTCTTTTCGCGTTCAGAAAATCAAAAGTAAAATTACGACTGCAACCGTAGAAAACTATTGAAGGATAACAGCAACGACTTTATCTTAAATTAATTTCACCAATATGGACGATTTTCGCCTTCCAACTTTTCTAAACTTCCAAAACAGAATTAGGAATGAAGTTTTAAAAGAAAAAATCAGGACACAAGATATCTAACGACAGGAAACAAGTTTACTAATATTCCTGGAGACTTATTTATTAAGCAGAGATGGAAATCGACGTTTAATGAAGATGGAAATAAAGTAGAAGTAATAAAGCAAGCACAGAAGAATAGTAGAGATTAAGGTAGATATAGAAGCAGCGGCAGTCGTCACTCACCCCGATGATGGCGTTAAGCTCCGTCATGGTCACCTGCTTGGCCCTCTCAATGGCCGCCGCCACCTGTTGCTGGTGCTGCAATAAAACCGTATTAAATTATACCTTTGGTGTCATTATAATTGTGTAAGGTAACATGGGTGTCATTATATGCATTAAATACGATAATATCATCAAACCCAACTATAAGCTCTCAAAATACGAGTTGGGTATCAGCATAAAATAGCTAATTATTGTCCGTACAAGGCTAATCCGTTCATAAGATAACTATTGCTAATTGCCAGGACATTAATCAATAGCCTCTGATGAGACGAAGATAACACAACAAATCAAGTATCACGCATTTTACTAATAATACAGGTTAATTAACACTGAAGAGATCATCATCAAGGGGGAACGATTGGTGCTAAAATATGGATTAATTATTCGCTACAAACGCTTTGATCGTGTACAACGCGTGAATAAAGCATCGCCAGAATTATAGCACTCCCGGTGCTCGTTCCAATATATTAGAAAATAGAAGATTAGCTTTGTATAAATTAACGTCACTCGTTTGCTTGAAAATTAACATGAAATTTAGATGCGAAGACAATTCCACAAAAGTTCATAATATCTACAAAACGTTTCGGAGTCCAGCTCTATCATCATCAGTTTGAAGATTCTAGAATGCAGGTAAAATAAAATAAGCGAATACAGATTAAATTCAAGGAACGGAAATTAAAACCCAAATTTACAAATAAAAAACAAAACGCAAGAAAAAAATGCCAAAACCTATCATTCACAATCTCAAGTGGGTGGGACATGAAAGTTCTGTTTAAAAATGTACAATGATTCTAAAATATGCAGAGCTGAAGTACCTGAAGTTAATTAATTGAATACTTCATCATCAGTGAAGCCAAACATACAATTAATAGGGACGAATTATGCCAGAATAACCTCGTGCATTAGATTTCGCTCTTAAAGAAATATCAGTGGCAAAATAACCTAAATATGATGTCTAAGTCATCAGCTGCTGATGACCTCCCAACAGCCTAACGTCCATCTAGATATAAGTAAACATTTCTAAAGATTGATTCGATTAGTTAATTACAAGTATCTAATAATTTACTATATTTGTATTTTATTTATTGCGTTATATTAAAAAATCGATCTCGCACACTAGTGACGCGTTTCGACTTGTCAATCGCTAGGTAAAGAACGATCAAGAACTCTTATAAGCTCTGATGATGAAAAGCGGATACACAGCCAGTCCTTGCACGGAGTTGATGGCTTAGTAACAATTTAGTGATTTATTAAGTATATACTCATAATTCTAATTAGTAAAGACCAGCAGGAGCAGTTCTGAGGCTCACCTCTTGCGACAGGTAGGGCATGATTTGGGCCAGGATTGCGTTCAAACGTTTCCCGATCTCCGTCTGTGTGTGTGAGAACATATAATTATGAAATATTTATAATCAATCGATTTGTTTATAATTATAAATGATTAATTTGCCAAATATCAGAATAAATTCATTTGTTATAATTAATTGGTATTTATAAAAATTATTAAGAATACGTACATCTTATACTAGGATTTTTACGAGCCCTGATATACCTTTTAGCATTTCCTGACAGTAAATTGTTCAAACTAATCGTTGCGTTAACGAGAATTACATTTGGCAACATGTTTCCAGAGATAATTCAAGCCATTCAATTTTAAGATGAACTGAACGAGACACTGCAGTGAGTAATTTAACAATTCATTAAGCCGTCTTTTTGTAGTAGACTCGTAAAACGCAAAGTAACTTCGATGGAAAGCTCCAGGGCAGCGCGTGTAGCATTTTTTAACCTTAAAATTCTGAAATGTATTCTCAAAAATTTTAGCTTTCAAGATCAAGCCATGAAAACATCTTTTCATTAAAAAAATGTTCGTGATAAAGGATGGAATGCCACATAAAAAAATGGTCCATGTCGTTTCCCACAATCAGAATGCTCTAGAATAAAATCATACAGTTTGCAAATTTCCGTAATTGCAGTGTAGAGCTTACCTGTTTGTGCATTTCAACGTTGAGGCCGTACGACATCTCGTAGTACTGCAGGGAAAAACAAAAAATATAATTTTACGTTATCGGGTTCAATATGAATAAACATCACGAATACGCTACACATTAGGATTGTTACTCAAAAACTATGCATTGCTAATCGAAGTGTTCCTGGGCATTTCAATAACTTCGATAAAGATTTCAAATTCCATGACCAAAGTTTAAACTTTCCCTCTGCGTTCATTGATCGCGAACAAGGAGTTTGTTGATCGTCAACAGACTTGCTTAATTAGCGATACTATCACTTAATAAACGAATATAATACAAAATCTGTAGACATTTTAAATCAAACAAGTCAAATCTAACAAATTTAATTCCTAACAAACTTGTACATGCAATTTCAGCATATATCGAACCATATAGAATCTGGCCAATCGAATTCCTGAGAATTAACTGCATTGTGCGATAATATCTATATAAAATTAGGTCAATAACAATAATCATTTAAAGTAAGCAACTGACCATGACGTAATGTCTCTGCATCTCCGATTTCTCCTGCACCAATTTGTCAGCTTCCATTTTGATGCTGAAAAAGATGAATAAAATGATTATCTGGAGTGTCATAATTTTTCAATTAAATGTTTTATTGCTGGGTTCCATTAAATAAGAGACTGGTCACTCATCATCAATATATGCGTGAGCCGCAGTCAACTTGTATACCTCAAACAAACTGAATATTGATGAGTCATCTCTTCCTAACTAACACCGCAAATATGCATACACGAGTTGCCTTTCATACTCTTCATTCTAAATTGGAGCTGCAGGAATTCAGTAATATCTATCTATGAATTAATATTCACAGCAGGCCAGCGATGGGCGAGCCATTACACTGGTCGCGGGGGGCATGGGTCCATGTTTTGTTCATAAGCGGCGCGCGCCTCCCTAATAAGAACGCCGTGTTCAATAGCATAGTTGCGTGACTACGGTGACTCTGGTGCTCAACCATAAATTACTGGTGCATAATCGAACATGGCAAACGATTTGAAGAGTAATAAACAGAATATTCAATTAACTTACTGGTATTAGGATATAAGATTGATTTCTGTTAAGAAGTTTGAGGGAGCGTCGAGAATAAACTTAATATTTTTGAAAAAATAAAAAAGTTAATATTTTCTTGATGAGATATGTCGGTGGCAAATGGATCAACGTAAAAGAAAAATGGTATAAAAAACTTGCAAACTCGAAACAGGAAAATAATAGCAACTTTAATGCCAAGCGCTTGAGGGATAAATGTGACCATGAGAATAGCCGTCGGTAAGGGAAGAATAAGCGAGTCAATGTATCATTCCGAAGCCACTTGAGCAATCTGATCGACCACAAGGCAGTCACAAATGCAAGTACAAACGTGGTCCGAATCAATCTTCGTTCGCAGCTAGAGTAAAGAAGGCAATGCCGAGCTTTGTCTGTAACCACACATGCCAAGTATACCGACGCGGGGTCATACATCGCCGTGCAATTTGGAAACGAAACAGTGAGTGCTAGCACGCCGACCACTAACGATATAATCACTTAAGCCAACACCAGCGCAGTCAATGCAACAATGGTACGTTCAACACATCGACCGGATGTGCGCGCATTACAGGAAGGGCCGTAGCTACTGAAAGCCTCCGCCGCGTACATAGCGCACGTGTGAATTTTACACCAGTGATTAATGATCATTAGTGAAGGCACTCATGAATTAAGGGGCTATTTGTGAGGTAATGAGCGGCACGCATCCACATGAACAAGATAGATGAGGTTGAGCGCCGTCCATTAGCTGAAGTACTCACGCGTGAACACACGCACTGCAGGAAGAGCATGAGTATCCAGGATACGCTGATCATCATTTGCAACTCTATATGGATGGATGAATATACAATTAGAGTGCACACGATGTGTTTAGAGAGTGTTAACGAGAATGTTATAGCGATGCGCAGTCGGATGTGGCAAGAGAAGTAAGTTCCGACTTCCCTTCTCCATAAGATCGTTTGAGAGTATTAGTAGCAAAATAGAAATATATCAGCTTGATAGTCCATAAATCAGGTATGATTACTGAGTAATTTATGATTTTATACGTAAAAATGAATAAACACGAGCAAAGTCAATCGTAAACCACACAAGATCCTTCGCAAACTTTTTACTGCTCTATAGTGATTTGACAAACGTTCATGAAACACTCGTCATGAAGAAAGTGAATATTAAGAACGAATTTCGCATGACAAACGCGCACAATACATTCAATTGAGCGCACAAGAGGCGCTTCCTGCAACAGTACACACACAATTGCTGGCCATTCGTGACTGCATGCGGCGTGCGTGAGACAAACTGTCGCACTAAAGTCTACATAACGACCGCGCTGCCCACAATTCTGTATTACAGTCACACGCCACCCTCATAACATTCAGTTTATTATGAATATACGTTACGCTTACTTGACCTCCATTGGACAAGATCACATTCATTCGTTAATCAGAACCAGCGTTGATTTTAGGTTTCGATTTTAAACGATTCAGTTGAGTAACAATTAGTCGAGCATATTGAATAACATCATTTCATGCTTTCATGCTCTCAATATTAGGAATAATGTTGAAGCTATCCAGATAGGAAAAAAAATCAACAAAAAATCCCCTGCTAGCCACCCAAACTGAGCGCGATGTTTGCGTATCAAAGCTGCAGCGGCAGCCAATATTGACAGACAGAATTTAACATTTACCTTTGACGAGCTTAGAATGAACTGTATTAGTTAGTTGAGCATTGAGGGGAGTATAGCTGATATTTCCTTGCCTTACAATAATCCATTTTGGTATACAGGAATATCTGTCTTTATTACTAGTAGATTAAAGTAGCTCCCCATTAAAAACTTAGCGAGCGTCATCAATTAGGTTAGATTAGGTCCAATAATTACAACAGATATTTTATTAGAGCAATTTGAGGCTCCGCCGTTTAAGACGGAACCTCACCGTCTTGCAGTAAGGGATTTGAAGTTTATTCGGCGATGGTACAGACGTATTTTTCGGTTTCATTTGTTAGGATTATCGTGGAAAACAGTAATTGTATTAGTCAACTGAGTAGATGAGTGGCTTCGGTAAGTGGCTTGACAAACTCGCAACATGTTGAGAAGTGAGAACTTTGTAAAAACTATGAAAAAATGGAGTAAGAATATGGACGGACGATAAATCTAAGTATAAAGTGCGGGTGCATTCGATTAAAATTTTGTGATGTCCTCGATGGTCAGAAGAGATTGTGGGTTAAGTATTTGATCTTAACTGATAAGACCAGTATTACTAATAATCTCTAAGAGGTAATAACAAAACTAACTACGAACGTGAGGCCACGAGTACGCATTTTTTTCTGCCTTTTGAGCTCGAGTGCAAAGGTCCATGGGAAGGAAAGGTGGTGGGAACTAAAGGGCAAAACTTGAATAAACGAAAAAAGTTTGCCATTTCAAGCACAAAGACGAAGTCCTCGCACTTCCAAGCGAGCGAAGGTTAATCCAATAAAATGTTATTCATACCGGCTTGCTTGTTCACGTATCGAGACACTGCAATTCGGACAGAGAGATCGATACAATTTGAATGCGGAAGCGAAACTGACATTTAATCCAGCAAGTGGCTTGCGTCTAAACAAATTTGGATAAGCCACAAAAAAAGCAATCTCAAATAAAAATGGCGAACACATCAAGGTAAAACCGCGTTCACATGATAAATCTATGGATAACCTACTAAACCCGGCACAAAGACTTTCATCCACAATGAACCCATGTAAACTTCGCTGATCATTACCACCATTCTAAAGGCGGACCACAAAACCGCTCACAATTAAGAACCCACAAGAATGTGTGACCGCACACCACAAAAATTCGAAGTGGTTCGTTGAGAGCCACAAGAGAGTGAGCACAATTAGGGGACTTGCTCCTCGTCTGCATAGACGAGCAATTTTCTCTGGTGGTGAGCTCCAAATGATATGCTTAGAATGGTGACAACCACTCAAGGTGATGAGCAGGTTTATGGTGACGCAGTGTACTTGATGATCAAGTATACCACTAGACAATGAAACTCCTTAAACACATCTGCTAACCCATCGACCTTAATATAAAGAGTTAGTTCAAAAGTTTGAGTTTTTGCCAAGTCAGGCGTGAACATTTATTTGAGAACAAATGATGTGAACATTAACTACTAAACTACTAAAAATAAGAAGAGTAATGAGAAGCCATTAGGAAAAATGAGTGTTCCAGAAAGGCAATAAATAAAGCGGCGGGAGCGAACAGCAAAAATTGAATTGAAAGTAAATGAGCGAAACATTTGCTGTGTCACATTTAAGAATACAAAGGAATGACAGAACAATGATTAATATTTATTGACTAATATTTAGGAGATGAATTAGAGTGGAGCATTAGAGTGATCCGTGGTTTATGGTTACCTCGAAGAGGGTGAGCTAGGGATCTTATAGTGGAAGTTATTCAACGAATACATTCATCTCAATGGAACAACACGAAAAGAATCACCAGAATTTTTACCATCCTCACTCAAACGATCCCTCTCCCCAGTCAAACCCACTATCCACTTCGGCCATAACAACCTAACCGTCATCTATGGCCATACCAATTCAGAAGTAACCTGGAGGACCAACATGGACCAACGTGCACAGTTGGGTGGCATACAAGCACACTACGGAGTCAGCGAAGCGGCAAATCGTGGTAACAACTGAGGTCCACAGGTAAGAAAACCTAAGCGTATTTACGTGGAAAAAATTGTTTGTCTCCGCTGCTTGTCATAAGAAGAAGACGCAAACACTGCCCAGCCGCCAACCGAGTCTGTGTGTCGATGCGGGAGGTCGACCCGATCGTATTTTTGCGCTGGGCTTGTCTCTATGAGACGACAACTCGTAAGCCTTTTTTCTTCCTAGGATTAAGTAACCTCAGATGCTAAATTCCCCAAGACAGGACAGTCTTTCACGCCTCGGGACTATAGAAAAGAATATCCCAACGCTGGCGTTCCGTGGACGGTATTTTCTTCTCCGGATGCCAGCAGGCCGCCGAAGCTTGAGTAATTTGGTGAGCATCATAGACACTCTTCTAAGCTATCTTACTAGAAATATTTCGATCCCCACAATAATTTCAATAATAATAATAACGTACATATTGGCCGATTGTTGGCCTTTGCTTGTGAACCAAGATCACCAGTGAGGATTTGCATACTTTTTCCGAATTCGCAGCCAATAAAATAATTCAAAGTCGTGTAGAATAGTTAAACACTCGTGTACTTCTAGACATAGGTACCACCGTTTATTCTTTCATGCTTTTTAATACATTATAAGGGGCAAAAATATTTGCTATAGGCGCAGATGATTATATACTTCAAGGAATTAAATAAAATCTGAATAAAGAAAATCGGGAACTCTAACCAAATTCGGGAACTCTACAGCGAACATCACTACTTTATACAGATCTTGGTGACGAACACCACTACATCCATTGTGTAAATATATCATAGGTTATATATTTTCGCACTAATAACTTGTTAGGCTCATTCATAATCTCAAATGCATCCCTTGAACTGGTTCAAGTAACTGCCAAACTGTAGGCACTGAGTGCGCACGAGTGGAGATGATATCGTGCAGCAACTAACTGCGTCGGCTCAGAGAAAGACGATGTTCAATTCGCGATGGTCGATCATGTGGCTGGGTTTCGAGGAATTGTCAGCAAGAATTTATGGGCTAGAAGGCCACAAGGATTTTCTTCTGTGCAGCTCCCAGAAAACATTTTACTCTGGAGTCTCAATGGACCTGCATGATCACCATCGATGTCAAACATCAACGTTTGTATGGCATGACACGATGACTTGAACAAGTCGAGCCGACAATGCCAAAAAGACCGTCACGTGAACGGATGAACAATCGGCAGAGCCACGATAAAAAACAAATACAACGATGGGATTAAATAGAATTGACTCACAGTGGAGGTACTAAAAGACACTGAATGAATGCATGCACTGGCAGAACAATCAAGTTGTTTTGCAGATAGTGCTGGTGAGTAAAAAAATGCAGTGCTGAAAATGAAGACTGAATTTTATAACGACGAATTCCTCCTTGAATATTGCAATCTTTTGAATTCATCGTACTTAATCAAGATACAAAACTTAATTTTAGGTTCACGCGTAGAAAAATAATAACCGAAGTTAGGACATATTTCATCACGAGAGAAAAAATCCGAATTAAACAAGTGAACTTAGCAACACAAGCAAAACCCTTTGCAAAGATTTCAGACGCTCGCAGAAAAAAATCTGACAGAATACACGCCGATAAGAGAACATCACCAATTTGACGATCTCGTTAGCGTGGCTGTGCGCATCACAATTGGCTTCTGTTGCGAGTCATGGCCTATAAGCTTCATAGGAACACGTCTCTATGAGATGCCGAAGTAGCGGCGACATGCAGCTCCGGGCCTCGTGTTCAATTAGACTGCACTCGTTCACTTCGATTCATTTGAATAAAGAATGAGTGAACATTTTTTCCGAAGCTGATAAGCGACGAACGATTTCTCTTTTAATTTGAGAGGACTAGAGCAATAAATTAGACTGTCAGGAATACAGTGAAGACAATCAGAAGGTTGACGGATCAGCTCTGGCGTCTTAGCTATAAAAGGTTACAGTGACCAAAGAACTTATTCGTCAATAGCTCACTCATTTGCAGAGGGGCAATTATATGTAGGTCCCGTAATTTCCACCTTTAGCATTTATTAACTGTTTTTTTCTTGTCTCGCAAGTTTACTTTCAAATGTTAGGCTATTTTACTTCATCCGAACTACTCCTACTTGTGTTTTTTTTTACCGTAAGATATATTACCCCATGACTCACTTTCACTTTGTCGCATGCTGATACTAATCTGAACAAGTAAAAGTCTTTGCCATAAATTATTAATATTACTGATAACAATAAATTATTATTAGTATTTATAACGATAAATTATTTATGAATATTAGACCCTCTTTCAGATTTCTAAATTAACTTACCAAGGTGGAGGTGAAACCCGGATACTAATCAGGAATATATGCTCTTGATAACTCTAACCAAATACTTGGATCATTATTCATTCCTCATCATTTATCATATTGTTATTTGTATGATATAAATGTTATTGTCCTCAGTATGATAGTATTGTCTTTAGATCTAAGTGCAAACACAAGAAACAATTCTTACTTACAATCTGGATAGTTGAAGCCAGGCACACAGACAAAAACTTACCCAAGTTTCAGCTACAGTTCGTAATTTGAAGGAAATTTAGGCGAAGAACAACTTACTTGTGGTACTGTGCCTGCAAGAAGTTGAATTCTTCCTTCATGCGGTCGCAGGACTCAGCCACCGTGAACTTGAAGGGCTGCCCAGGCTGAGGACCCTGTGAACAGTAGGAGCAGACGTGAACAAGGGGATCGGACGTGAACAATAGGAACAGACGTGAACAAGGGGATCGGACGTGAACAATAGGAAGGAGCAGACGTGAACAAGGGGATCGGACGTGAACAATAGGAGCAGACGTGAACAAGGGGATCGGACGTGAACAATAGGAGCAGACGTGAACAAGGTGATCGGACGTGAACAATAGGAACAGACGTGAACAAGGTTAAGAGGAACAGATTTAAAAAGAAAAAATATATACACCCATCGACAGGAAAACAACTTCGACGGGTATACCCTTCTACGGGAGCATGTATACACATAAGCCCCCATAACGAGAATACATCTGCCGGTGATGCATAAGGTAGCTAGCTAGACGGCAATGAATAAAGAATACAGCACCACGACATCAGCTTTACGATGCTACCGTAAGTGCTAATGCTCATAAAAGCTCGTTTACCGCGACCATACTTGAGGTCAACCTCGAGCCACACTCGACTCGTCCAGCTTCGGGCCGCGCTCGTATCAACCAGCCTCGAGCCACACTCGCCTCCACCAACCTCGAGTCACACTCGCCTCAACCAACCTTAACTTACTCTCGCCTCAACCAACCTCAAGCTAACCTCGCCTCAACCAATCTCAAGTCACACTCGCCTCCACCAACCTCAAACCACCCTTATTTCCAGTCTTATAGACATACAGACAAGAAAAAATGCACTTACACTCCAATATTTCTTAGCCTTTACTAGAAAGTAACACTAATGGCCACTGTATCTGGCAGGCCAACTGAGGATTTGGTGGTAGTATGTGGCGAAATTGCAAAGCTGTTTTCAGCAAGAGATGCACTTTTAATAACAAAAACAATAACAATATAATTTGTCTTCAGAGAATACATGCTTCAAAAACTTTATGGACGAGAAGGGACATTGTGAGTCGTAACTGAAATGAGTTGTAAAAAAAATTATTTGCAGATGTACAGTTGTTACTCGTGATTGATTGGTAGGTATCATGCAAGTATTTAAAGATCTGTGTCATCGGCCATATCCGGAATGCACTTACCAAGGTTCGTATCAGCGACCTGAACCAGCTGTATCTACTCTATATATACCAGCTGTAGCTACTCCATAGCTTAGGTGAGGAGTTCACGAAGCCAACATCGAATGAAGCAATATCAACTATAGGCGAATACGTAGAAGTGCAAGTGACTGACTGAATACAATGTCGTCGAGCAATTGTCTATTCATATCATACACGAATTATACCATTTCTCAAGCTTCAACAATATTACTTGATTTTTATTTTTTGAGGCTTAAAGCCAATATCCCCTTCAATTAATTAATCTCTGGCGCTGAATAACGCTAATAATAATAATGTTACAAATACATGCACCATTGCAGGTTGTGTCAGGCACACAGAATACACATGTTTACATGCAGACCACAGAGCCGGCACTCGTACGGCACTAATCAGAAATTCCTATATGTCGTGATATATATACAGTAAACAATACAAGAACACATAAATATTCAATGAAGTTTACATAAATGGTTTCGTAAGTACACCAATGACAACCATGCTAAGTAGATGATAGTGCTGCAGGGTAAAAACCCAGCATCTTTGTATACAGCTGTGCAGCTATGATATAATACTGTTGCTATGTATCAACAGAGGTATAGTGCATACAGCTGCAGAAACACAGGCATCATAGTGTACAGCTGCAACAACACGGGTTTCACAGCCTACAGCAGGAACAACACAGGTATCACAGTATACAGCTGCAACACCACATGAATCTTAGTACACTGCTGCAACACCTCAGGTAACACAGCATACAGCTGTTACAACATAGATACCGTACGTTTCACAGCATACATCTGGAGCAACACATGTATCACTGCATACAGCTGTAACACCACAGGAAACTTGGCACACAGCTGCAACACCTCAGGTAGCAAAACATACAGCTGTAACACCTCAAGTAGCACAGCATACAGCTGTAACAACACAGGTATCACAGTAACTATACAGCTGTCTTGACTCATGCATCATATTATACAGTTGTAGAACACAAACATCCCCGCTTACAGCTGCAACAAAACATGTATTAAAATATACATCTGAGATCCACTCACCGGATGCCTGCTGGCAGCAGCCGCAGCGACGGCTGCATTCATGGCCGCCGGATACATGGCTGCTGCGGTCACGATAATGGTGGTGGTTGTGATGCCGACAAACTACACAGATAAATGATCGAGAGAACCAAGTCTCTCTCTGTCACTGACGACTAGAATTGTTACTATCAACGACCGCGTCGATATGACGTGTTGGCCGACACTTTTTCTATCTAACAGCGAAGGATAAACATTATTTTCATATTAAATAATGGTATCTATAAATGTTCCATAACCAATTCACTTCAATTCAACATCACAATTGTGTTTGTAATACAATATGATAAAATTTTCACAGTTCAGAGAATTGTCTCTTTGCTTTTCACTGAAGACACTGTTTAAAAGATCAAATATTTTTCAGATTATAAAATTCATTCTTATTTTATTAAATCAAACTGGAAATGAAGATCAAGTTACAATAGAAATATTCCGCTTGTCGAATAGAATTATCAATGATGCTGCACACTTCACTCAGTTATTACCAGGCTCACCCACGGAGTTCTAGAAATCGCACTTGCAACGCGTCACTGGACACTTATACGAGTTAATTTATGAATTTGTCGGGGTGACTTAAGCAGCGTAGCGGCGCTGCCGAAACACGATAATTAGAACAGCACTTAAGACTGGCAGACTTCCTTGTAAATAAGAAGCAACTGCATAACCGGGAAACAGAAGCAGTAAGTCCTCAAAATAATGAGCCAGAAGTTATTGGGCGTTATTGCTCGTACAGAATCGTTTTAAAAACGCAATAAATTTAATTAAACGGTATTTATTACTGTCATACACAACAGAGCGTTCTTTTCGAGCACTCGACTATGAGTAAAACACTAAATATTAAGTAACCGTTTTTGAATCTTTAAATTATTAATTCCGGAGCAATACACTTCACAGAAACATACATATGGAAACACAGTCATATATGTACCTAACGAACAATCAAAGTAACGCAAGGTATTGCCTTCGTTTCACTTTATTTGCCGGAAATCATAGTGCACTCTGAAGTTTGCATAATTAATTTTCTCACTCTTCTAAAGCACAAAAGGAAAAAGTTCAAGTGTCCAAAGAAACGTAGAATTCGTAGATAGAGACAGAGAGCAGAACTGGTTCAAGGAAAGAGTGAATAGTAGTCGCTATCTTCGGGGATGAAGCAAGAGACTTTTAAGTTTTAATTATTACTGCAGGTTTATTGCCTTCAGAGCAAGTGAAAAGTTAATTGCACATCTGCGGAAGACAAAGAAAGGGCTATTAAAATACAGTGAAAATTACCGGAAGTCTTTAGGAGGATACAAAACACCTGGAGACAAGAAGCTCTACCATCTGTAGATCTAGTGTTTTATGTGTCATTTTCATAACAGTATATCGTCATATATAGCGTCGATACGTAGGTACATCTCATATCGCGCTTATCACACGTGAGCATGCTGCTCTTTCAACATTTTTAACCTTGAAAATATACTTTGACTACTAAATCGTTTATTTTTATTCAGTAAAGCCAATTATTCTTCACCGAAAATAATGGAGTCATAGTTACGAATCTCCCACAAAATCCCAGATTCTCGGGAATTATCTAAGGATTCTTGCGTTAGCAATCCCAGTGAAGAGTATCGTGCACCACATATGCCAGTAAAAACGTTGAGGCAATTGCCTAACTCCGTGCAATTATTATATTCTTGAGAGTAGAAGGAAGCACAAACTAGGACTGCGTGTTCAATGGAAGCGTTCAACGCGTCATGAAATTAATTACCGTGTTAGACTCGCGGTTGCAGCGAACAATGCAGTAAAAAAAGTAGAGTCTGTACAAAAAAACTGCGTTGGGAAAAAAAAGATTCGAACACTGTAGTAAACAAGAAGCGCAAGAAATAATCTCCATTCCAAAAAGAAACAAACATGAGGAAGAAGTGTTACAAACGCATATGTGACGAGTTTCTTATAGTCAATATCAAGCTTAGTCGTGTGTGAGCACTAGCGTGTCTGCATGATGCAGATCATATGGTCCTGCATTACGTTAGAAGACCATGGAATTATATTAAGAAGTTGCCGAATACAACAATGTTTTAAAATTTCAGTTTTTTTCACAATTAGGTCTATCAATTCGGTCGTTTACGTATTTGTCTTTCCAGCACCAACGCTCAACCAGGCATTTTTGATTGTCCGCGGAAGTTGTATGCAATGAATTGACAGCACTTTAAATCGTACAGTATTTTACTGTGCGTCGAACGGAGTTGTAATGACAACGACCGAGAGCGCGAGTATTCCTATCTAAAATATTATGTCAACGGGCTCGTGCCCGTGGACTGGTAGCAGAAGCTGGGAAGCTGCGTTACTGGACTGGCCAAGTAAATTACTGGCAGGGCTGTGTGTTTACACTACGGTACCGTCGAAAAATAAAGTTTTAGCGTATCAAAAAATACGAGTTTTATAACTTTTATTACTTGGAATAAATCATACTTTTTCCTCGAATTTGGAAATACCGCATAGAAAGTTCACGTCACGTTCACTTCGAGTGTTCTATCATTATCTTTATGCCGATCCTCACTACAGGTCCTCATCGTCAAAGTCGTCAAGGTTGACAGTTGCCGCTGGCCCAACCTGCCACCTCATTGATCACGAATTGGGGACACCGCGCATTGGTTCTTCTTGCATTCATTACCTGTCAGTCAGTGAGAATATACCCTAACTAACTTAGGTGATATGAAACACAGATTTAAGTAGTCAAAATTAGGACAACTGCATAGTACGTGGTGATGGTCTCCGTATGCGAAGGCGGTATGTATTAAAATCAAAAACAAATAAGCCTTTACATTCGCTTCGGCAAAGGCAGGCGTGTCTTGATAGGCCAGGCTTTGGACTCATAAAAAGATACTAACGGTATGACGTACTCAGGAACATACATCGTGGTGAACACTCAATCTATTAAGAGAGAAACTAATTCGGAATGGATAACGAATTATGAAAAATGAAGTTGGGACTCGAAGGCGAAACAAAATTTCTTGTGAAGCGAAACAAAAAGACAAAGGAAGAATTGGGCGTTTAAATGATTTAGATACAAAATAAATAAACGTTTTTAGAATCTAGAATATGAATGGAAGTAAAAATAACCTTCTTCAAGACATCTCAAACTAGTCAAAGCGGATAAATCATTAGACAGAAAACACCATACCCAGCCTTTTCGCGGTTCTCGGGGGCACAAAAGGCAAGAATGATCGATGGGTTAAGCCTTTACTCAAAGAGATTTGCCTTACAGCGTTTTTCGTACTGCGGTGCGCGAAAATCAATCAACATGGAGGTTCCTAATAAGCAGCGACATGAGCAAAACCTCCACAAGAAACGCAAGCGTTACTAATAAGGCTTCTCAAAGCTGCGCCGACATACACGTGCGTTCTTTACGTTCCAGCTGAGAGCAATTGGAGGGAAAAACCAGCAGCTGATAGCAGCAACTTCACCATCAGGAGGTGAAGTCGAAGCATGGATACGACATCAGTGCGCATTCGGTAGACCCTCGTCGACAGCTGAGACACTTGGGGAGGAAAATCATGGCAGCCTTTCATTCTGCACCCTAGAAATGATCATGTGAATGCAATACATTCGTACTCATTTATATAGAACGAAACGTAACTGCCATAGATGTTATACTATACTATATGGATTAGAAATTCTGGTTTCGGTAGAGGAAGTCTTGGAATTAAAAATCTTTGCTTAGCACAAGAAATATATCGAGTCACTTTGAAAAAAGAGGAAAATTTCTTTTTATGTGGATAATAATGCGGTAAGTTTTCTAAGAGCGTCAAGCGATTGTTCAGGTCAATTCTAATGGAAAAACCTTTAGAGGCGCAGGTAGTTTTTTTTTTACTTCTCGAGTTCATAAGCACAATAGCTAAACAAACACACCGTTGCGCGAAGGCTAGCTGTGGCCTAGCGGAACGCAAGACTGTAAAGAATAATTTACGTATAAAGGCTGTGAAAATTTAATATGCTTTGAAAATCCAGACAATGGTTTCTAAACACGCTTCTCTGGTTGGACTCATCAAGTGAAACAAATGGATATGAACTCATTCTTACGTCGAAGTAAATAGTGTATGTAATTGGAATAGAGTTAGATTAGAGCTAATACGGAAAGGGACAAGTGAAGAGGATAAATGAACGATGCAAAAAAAATGTGTGATGTCTTGATTGGGCAAGTTATTGCACAACCCTTGTAAGATAAGCAACTAATAAGAGATGAGAAATAAACAGAGAAAGCCTACTTCTGTGAAATTCTTGAATCAAAGGAGCACTAATGACAAGGCAGGAGAAGGCCAAGAATGAAAGCCGACAAAGAGGCTTGGGGATGAAGACACAAAGCTCAGAGGTCGCCCGGCCAGCACCTTGTACAATGGGCGCCTAACAATCGCCTCACAATGCTGGCTTAGAAGCCAGAGATGTGAAGAGCACCTGAGACTAGGGCATGTGATTCCCTAGCGTCACAATGGACCCAGCCACAACAACACAAATTGATCCCGTCATCATTACCTAACACAATTAGCTGGCTTGATCAGATCCATGGATAATGCAGTACGCTCTAGTCAACAGGGGAAATGTTCATGTGATATCTAAAGTAAGTGATGATTACACTGAACCATAGTGAGCGACAAAGCAAGGTTGTTCATCCCATAATAACTGAATAACGGCTACGAGATAATAAGAACAGCCAAATTATTTTTCTGGACTGGTTTCAAACACGTGACGTATAAACCGATTTTTGCAAGATTTGAAAACGGTTAATATTCATCTACAAAATACTCTATTGTTGTAGGTAGGCAGGAGTTGTTCTTTAATGCAGGTTTCATCGGAGATCAGAGTCTTTCTCTCATTGTCAATTCTTCTTATTGTTTTTCTCCAATCGACGAATTAAGCTTTTGATAGGAATTGAAAATTTAAATATCATGTTTCCAGGTGACATTTTATTATAATTTACGTCGTTTCGAATGCAATTACATTCATCATCAAGTTATTCAAGTAGGGGAAAAGTTTTGCAACACTTGAATTTGAAATTTAGAAATGATGTTAGACAAACATAGGGGATTATGTATACAGATTGAAAATCAAAGCTTGAATTACGAGAACAGTTTCAACGCCCTTCGTCACATTTACAAACTACCGGATTTGTAAATTAATAGCTGGAGACTCATGCTTGATGATGAGAGTCTCGGCTATCGCCGGTCTTGTGGCGTCTGGGCACCTCATGACGATGCTGGTTTCTAACGTTCAACGTTGTAGACCTACATGAACAACGTTGGATGAATGCTGAAAAAGTGTTCTAAAACTCTTGACAAAGAGGAAAATGTTGAACTCAAATATTGGGACAACTATATTTACCGGTATTATAGGTATTTGTATAAAGATGATTCAGAAACAACTTCAATAAAATTACACTCATTGCAAATTAATAATCTAGGTCAGGATTGAGTTGAGTCATGGAGGAATGAGAAGGCATCGAAAAATTGAAACAAAGAATCATATAAGCAACTGCCAACCGCTACCGACGGAAGGAAGCACAAATCTGCACTGAAGGAATCCACGCATTGACATAGTCAAGCATAATGATTGCAATGGCATACTGGAGTTTCTTAAAATAATCATTTGATATTTCAAGCAATGAGATCATTACCAAGCTCAAGCGGCATACGTTCCGCGCATGCATGAGGCCGCCCGTAGCCGTAGGAGGCTAGGAGTAGGAGCCTAGTCCCGTACGTTGATGAGAAACAGACATGATAAATTGAAGCACAATATTCTATACTTCGATTAAAGGAAATTCAGTTTCATGAGATACATATAATTACGTGCATTTTAGTTACAATACTTCACATCACTGAACTCGTCGTCGATCACAATGCACAATAATCCATCATGGTAGGTAGGGGAAGCCGCAGCTCGTGGCACGACTAGAACCACACAACCTCACACCACTCAGTCCAAGAGGCTACTGAGGACGGACGGAGGCTACGGTCGGCCGACCGAGTTAGTTGTAAGCTGATAATTTCCGAGGCTCTGATGGAGTGAGGAGCCGTCATGTTCCAACAACACTTAGCGATCCGTTCCTCGCTTCACGTACAAAGTTTGTTTGTTGTAGCATGTTTGTGGAAGAGGTTTGTTTGTTGACCGTATGCAGTAAAGAGTTGGCAGTTCCGAGGAGTAATTCACCAAACTATGAACACAACAAGCGAGTCGCTTGTGGTT